ACAATGCACTCTTGTGAACACGGTGTGGCGAACAAACCCGTCCTTAGATAACGTACTCTTAAGTCGGAAGCTGGATAACGTCGTTAAACTAGCCCATAAGCCGAAAACCCGAGGACGTCATTAAACTAGCCCACCTGCAAGATAACGTTAAATAACATAAACCGAAATCCCGATGACGTCATAAATTAACCCAACTGCAAGATAGCATTAACTAACATAGCCGAACACTAGTCCACAAGGGAGATAATTAGAATCTCACATGGGTGTGGTCCATGGACAGGGAAATCGCAACCCGAGGTAGCAGTGTACAGTAGAGGGTTGTGGCCATGGGTGTGGTCCATGGACAGGGAAATCGCAACCCGAGGGTCATTTGTATTTGCGCTGAGAGAACGGCGTAGTATTGTCTATCGATGTGACAAAGGTGTGACGACTCTGTCCCTTCACGCATCTCCTCGTCGCCTCCCCATTATACCATCCCAAAACGATACATACATCAGGCCTTCCTACCTCCTCTAATTCACTTTGATATGCTTTATAATAATAATTAAGATTGTGTCAAGCTTATCTCCTACAAAACGATCATTGTGAAATTGTTAATTATTTAATGCAATCAAATGTATCCGTGAAAAACACCATACATCAATACACCTTTGGAATAACATTTATAAACAGAAAGATATTGGTCATGAAAATAATAAACAGTTGTGAGGTATTACTATATGTAAGCGTTTCTATAATACTAACTAGACATCTCAAAGAGCGCAAACGGGCCTACGGGCATTGCATGTGACGTCACCAGGACAAAAATCGCCAGCGGAGCGGAAGATACCGATTCTTAATAAAGCAACATTACAAGCTCGACAAAAATTGACCGGTGGCTTAGACACATTATTTTGGAGAAGGCAATTTCAGAGCGAGGGAGGCCCGTCAGAGAAGATGAATGCAAACGGGCTGCTAATAGATAGCTATAATTATCTCAGAGATGGAACTGGAAATTGAATGTAATGCTGATCACTGGTCCGCAAAATGATAAGAAATGATTTCGGTATATAATCGGTGTATCACGTACTTCTATTTCAAACCCAGCTGTCCTTTCCTACGACATTCAAGGTAAGTGTGATTTCCGTTGCTTTGTTTGACTGTACTTCAGTGCATCAGATACACATTAACAGTATCGTCTTGTATGCATTTATAATGTTGCGTTGGATCTGTAATAGTTTTTACGGTTATATTTTAAAATGTCGGCAAATCAAAGATAGGAGTGTTTAAAACAACACTTCGGTTTGTCTATATTATCGGTCCGATCGGAAACGCAAACACAAAATATCCGAAGAAGGAAACACTAGCTATCTAATAAATTTAGTACGTCGATACAGAAACACATCTACAATCTTTGGAGGGAGTTTGGCAATGTTACAGACACAAGGGCGCATCCATAATGAGGGAGTTTGGCAATGTTACAGACACACGGGCTCATCCATATGGAGGGAGTTTGGCAATGTTACAGACACAAGGGCTCATCCATATGGAGGGAGTTTGGCAATGTTACAGACACACGGGCTCATCCATATGGAGGGAGTTTGGCAATGTTACAGACACAAGGGCTCATCCGTATGGAGGGAGTTTGGCAATGTTACAGACACACGGGCTCATCCGTAAACACGATTAGAGGTGGTTCTGTTGTATTACTCTTTGGTCAGTAGTGTAGCGAATACAATCTTCAGACTTATTTGTTGGAGAGCATGTTAAAGATCATAAACTTTGAAATCTTTATATCACTTACAGTAGCTTGTTTAGGAATTACTGAAAATGAAATAAGTATAAATCAAAGGCAACTACCAGCGTAACAATTAAACAGGTGTAAGAAGATACATAATGAAAACGAAAATCAAATCAGACGTTCTTTACCAAGCTCACAAAAATAACTTAATTCTCAAATTCTCAGAAGTTAGATACGGCTGCCTGTGATGTTTGCTTAAGTTGAATATTTCATAAAGATCCTTAATTCGCTATGTCATTATCTGGACCACATATAGTTTATGTGAATCATTTAAACAGCCGAAATATTACACTGTGATCGAAGGAATGTTGATTTGGTAAAAAGCTTGCTTAAAACCAATCTAAAACTTGTAAGACGTGGCGTGTCAGTAATTACTCTGGTACATGTGTGTTGCGTGATAATCTGACCAAACTATGAGAATCGTGTAACGACGGCTTAACATTTCTGATAGATCAGAACTACACCATGCTTTCAATCTTTATAATTACGTTAAATACATGTAACAATTATATCTATCTTCTTGGCGTGGCTGTTTTATTAAACGGGGGAACACACGTTTTTGTAGGAACCAGGTCGTGATTTCCATGGTAACCATTTCCGTAAGGCGACAAACTATTTTAGTTGTTTACATTTTTATTGGATAAGATCCATTTGATAGTGCTGTAAACATAGTAGTACAGAATAGGTAGGAAACGTAACATCGTTATTGAATATTAGAGGGTTTCTAACTCGCTGTACATGATAATATGATGGCCATGAAGCACAGTCTGTAAAGATTGAAGATTTCTATAAGAAACAAAAATCACAATTGTGTTCAGTTCAAGTGTAACCCTTTTTACCAAATGTTTTCTTCTAAAGAACCTCTGAAGAGGTTAAAGGCCAAGAGAAGATGCCACTGCTTTTGTAATATTTAGCTTATATTTGAATCCAGTGTTGACCAAAAGCGTGTTTGATGTCTCAGATGTCATTTTACTCAACTTAAGTTATACACGATCGATATATCCTTCATACGTTTAACTGTTATTTATCATAACATAACATATTGGAAGCGACTTCCCCTTATTTATTTTTAAAATTGATGCAGTTACAAGCAAGATAAACTTCCGGTTTTGTACAGTAAAATTGAATTTGATTATTTTGCAGTCATGCGGCGCGTGACGTCGTTCTGCGTGTTGGTCGCATCGATATTGATTCTCATACAGGGAGCTCGCTCAGAACATGCGTTTCGTCAGAACGACCGGCCACCAAACGCTCTAGAACGAGATGCTGATAAGTACAACAGACCGCAAATTCCATCGAAACTGCCGATAAACCAACAAGACCAGACTGACGCGTGTCCTGTAACGGAGGAAGCTTTGGTAGAATCAGTGCAAACAACAGAGAAAGGCATTGATTCAGCGACAGTACTTCCGCCCTGTACCAAGCGCGTTGTCACGCAGAATCCTTCGATAAGCTATAGGCGGAGGGATACTTCTACTGCTGCAAGGAGACATAGGCGGAGGGATACTTCTACTGCTGCAAGGAGACATAGGCGGAAGGATACAGATACCAGGGATGTTGTCAGGCAAACTGCATCTAGGAGCCATAGGCGGAGAGATCTGGTTGCAACTGACGTGGTCAGGCGAACAACTGCTCGGAGACATAGGCGGAAAGATACTAGGAACGTTGCCAGGCACACTGCTGCTAGGAGAGACAGGCAGATTGATCGAGGTACCAGGGACGTTGTAAGACATCGACTTGTGTTGAGACATAGGCAGAGTGGTAGATATAGTACACATTTGGGGAGAGAGGTAGAATCAAGACAAGTTAGACGGACACTCTCTCCGGAGTCTAGGCGCAACTTCCGCCGAATGGTTGACGTTAGTGTCAGGTCGAGGTCAACCACTCATAGGAACGATAAACGGGAACGGAACAGCAGATTCTCCAGGCGAGATTTCCGAAATACGCGCGGTGCAAGTTATACCAGACGAACAATTCGGGATTCTGGAGAAGACATCCGGGTATTGACATTGCCTTATCAGCACAATAGTAAAGTGAGCCTGTACCATACGGACAGTAGTTATACGACTGATCGGGACGATACACAAGCTGTAATGCACTTCACAGGAGCATCAACGAAAAGCAGGTCTTCGAGACATATTCGACGGGAAGTGCACCGTTCCCGAGGGGACAGACATTTAAGTATTAGAGAAGTATCCGACGCTAGTTTATCAACTGTGTCTCGTTTCCCGGTGAATGAACGGGGACATCGGATTGATGTTCGTCGTCGATTCCGACATAGTGATAGGCCAGTTAGTAGGAATACAAGACGTGATGTCACAAAAAGGTTTGAATCAATGCGTATTTCTGTACCTTATGCTTTTAATACCATTTCAGTAATTGATCAACTTACTATGCAAGCTAGGAAAGAACGCAATAAAAAATCAGATTCTTTTCATTCTGATAGGCGAGTCGCCCGCAGAGCGAGACTTACACGGGGATACAGGCGTATTTCCTCTAACGATGGTCTAGACGAGACAAGCAAAGTTGTTTTTCTTCGTGAATTTATTGACCATGTTGACAATAGAGACACTAACTTGGAAAATGTAGAAAAGTCATCGAATGATCGGCAGTATGAGATGATGCCATCAAAACAACACACCTCCCTGGACTTAGATGAGGTTACCACAGAGAAATCGGTAACTAAAGACAATAATGTAGTAGAGGTGAGAAATACGTACGGTAACCGCGTCATACTGCAAAGGCGGCGTCGTCAGGAAGGTCAGTACAGCAGGCGCCGCGTGGCTGAGAAACGGAGTGTTAGTCAAATTATAAATAAATATAGACGATCCAACGATGTACGTATTCGTCAAGGATCAAGACAAGTATACAATCAGCGGAACAGCCGTCGTGATAGTAGAAATGGTAGGTCTGCACTTAGGCACTTAACAAATGCGCAACACAGAGCTCGAAGACTTAAGCGCAGCTCCAATGACGATGCAACGCGCAGATCTGCGCTCAAGGATTTTACTGATAATCAGAATAACTTTTTAAGTGACGTCACGCGCGTCAATACCGAACGTAGATTTCGTTATAAACAAGCACGAAAGAGAGAACGCTCTACAAGACGAGTCCGTCGTCTCAGGGTAGCGCGTGCTGCCGAAGCTAAACATTCTGATGAAAGTAAGATTACAGATTACAGAACATTTACAGGACATAATCTCCGTCCTTCTGCCGGTAGACAACAAACACGTACTTCCAGATACTTCACGACAAACTACGGATTAGTACGCCGGTCACGGAGAAACTCTCGTATAGAAGGCCGAAGAAGTAGAGAGGTTCGGTCTCGCCGGGCACAGCAGCGAGTTGCGGACAGAAGGATATCAGAAAATGTCTTAAATTTACACTATATCCAAGGACATCAGAATTCATACTTAACCGAAAACAACTTTGGTTTGCCGTTGTTTGGTTTAGTTGAATCATCGAGGAAACCCGAAGCGGTGGTTGGAGGCATGGCTAGGTCGCGTCGGTCAAGACATTCGGAAAGACATAGAAAGTTACCGTTATATTCACCGAAGGCCTTGATAGTCACAACGAAGTCCCTCGACACGCAGCCTCCCAACATTGACGTAGGCCTACATGTTGACCAACCCCATGTCTCCCTATCCGAACAACACGTCTCTTCAAAACTGTCCGGAGCTGTTGATTACTGTCTGGTAAGTAACATCTAATGAGTCCAGTTCATGTTTATGGTATAAGAGAAATAACGCTTGTTGTTGAGTGGTATTATAAAGGTAATGCAATGTGATTGGTAGATGAGGATGACAAACAGGTGGCTGTATATGATGTATTCAAACATCGGGCACGTACTATTTAATAATGGCATTCTGAAAACGCAGACTTAGCCACAAGTAAGTTATTCTTTTTGTGCTTGCCAGGATATACTAATAATGTGAAGGGAAAATTTCAGATCTTTTGATTTTGTTTGTTGATTTTCCACAGAACTATCTCTTCTCGTGCGCCAATGCTTTCCAGAATAACCAGCACTCGGAACAGGGGTAAGAACAGTTATCTTTATCTTCATTGTTTTATCCATATAGCATAAACAAGTGTAACATGCCTCTTACCCACAATGAGAGACAGGGTACATAAAAATAAATGGTGTTTTTTTTTACAAAAACCGTCGTAACAGTAATATTAATACCCGTGGTATTAGTATCTGGTCAAAGTATGGTCCGGGGCACCCCCGCTAGGCCAAGGCTACGAAAGTAGGACGGTGTCATAATTGGTAGATTATTTATAGAATGAGCTTAGTGTGAACTAATCTCGACCTGGAATGTGATGATGTCGATCCATGTGCGACATGTGTGTGAAAGTGACGATTTGTTTCTAAAATATCAGTTTGAAGTGCGCTCCGGGCGCGGGTCGCATATTTCCCGCATATTATAGAGGACCGGAGTTCTGACGGTAATCGACGACAAACCGATATGAAAAAAGTCGATAAAACGTCAGAATAATTCGGACTAATTCCAAGGGTGCCGAGAACGTAAGTGAGCGTGACCCCTAGAATTTCGAGGATGGAAGAAATTGTGCATTAAGCAATGATCAACTTTGCGCACGTCATTTTTGAGCAGGCGCCATTGTTATACTGTATGGTGATTAGGCCACTCGCGTTCATATCGTTTCTGTATCTATAGTATAGGTGACAATGTGTTCGGCCCATTTTCTCTGCGCCAATCAAATTACGAGAAATATCTAAGGCATAAAAAACAAAATTAAATAATCGTTCATGACCTTTTGACTTTTGACTTTTTTCGTTTTTTGTTTTTGTTTTGTATAGAACATTTTCCGATGATACCAGCCAGGGAACGTACAGCTGTACCCGTGGGGTAATGCTGGGCGTGGTCGCTGTCCTGAGTACCCAAGTAGTTCAGGGAATGTCCGCCCCATCCCTGCCCCTGGGACGGATCAGACATGGCCTACTTGCCTAGCACCAAACATTTACGTCCAACTACTACCCATGACGTCATCTAAGGGTTACGTCCAAAGGCTTGATGAACTGAACGTTGTTCTGAACATAAATCCTCATTCATACGAAGTGAAAAAACCCGATGTAACATATCACAGCATCATCTGAACCGATAATGAGTTTAATTTTATTGAAATGTAGCTGGAATGGGGTTTTGAAGGCGTCGACAGGCGGCAGCATTTGTGTCTGACCTTGACCTACTATAGTTGACGTAATACACTGTGCTCATCTGTATATTGTGATTAAATGTGTGTAACCCTGTAACTGTTGTGACGGTAAGCTCGTCAATAAAAATACCAACAACTAATGTTGCTATCACTGTCTTGTATATCAACAGCTTATGTTACTAACGTTGTATTGTAAATCAGCCTAGGAATATCCAAGTTACAAGAGAATACTTTGGTTTGGTTTGTTTGTGTTTCATGTCTTATTTGCGGCTATGGTCATTTACGGACGTGCCAGGTTTTGGTGGTGGGGGAAAGCTGGAGACTCCGGAGAAAAACCACCGACCTACGGCCAGTACCTGGCGACTGCCCAACGTAGGTCTCGAACCCGCGACCCAGTGGTGGAAGGCTAGTGGTAGCAAGAGAAAAACGTGTTGACAAAAATGTCATTCCAACTCAAAACCTATGAAACATGTGTCGCTTTGAGACCTTTAGTTGATTAAGTGTGTTCACATAGCACATGGAATATAAGACATTCTAAAATAAAACAATACTTCAAATACGAACACATCCACAAGCCTAAAATAGGACAGACTACAGAACACGATGTGGTTCTAATGACCAACAACTACCCTATAATAATAAACTAGGTTAGATTTAACTAAATGTCAGTCCAATTTCCTGTGTTTCAATACTTTATTCACGAATTTTGCAGCAATAACCTTGTTTGCACCTCCAAATAATATATAACGACAGTTTCATAAAAATTCCGGAATACAATTATCTCTTGGTGTTTCCCTCTGTGCCCGTGCTACTCACTCATATGAGAAAGCTGTTTGGATGTGCTTGTCACACAAACCGGTTGTAATTGGCCAAACTCGAATTTCCCTCGCATGGTTATTGTCATATAACACGAAGTCGTGACGTCATCCGTTGTTCCTAGGGTACAAACAGTAATAAAATGTACAGTGAAGATTGATATTTACCTGTCACTGTTCATTAAAGAGCAGTAGCTTGTCATTATTGCTTTAATAATGGACCACTACTGGTCTAACAATGGACAGTTACAACTTACAAATAGTCCTACCTGATCATTTCTCTTATAAATATAGTTTAAATCTAATAGTTAACAGTTAAAGTATGGGTATGAGGGATATAGCAAGTTTATGATCCCCCGAGGCCAGAACTATAAGAATAGTCCTGGACGAGGGGGATCATAAACTTGCTATATCCAGAAATACCCATACTTCAACTGTTTTATTATACCGATACAAACACTCCCTTACAATATTCTAAATATTATTAGACAACATTTGTTCAACAGTTAACTAAACAACAACAATGCGAGGTGAAGGTCGGTCCAGGAAGTACCGGCTCCGCTGGCCGGAAATTGCCGGAAATTGCCGACGTAATTCGATTGCGCTGATTAGTCAATATTCGGTCAAGCCCCGCCCACGACGTCACTCAATTTCCCGCATTTTCCAAGGGAAATAGTTTCAAAACTGTCTCACCCCTCCAGACGAACTATTTCCCTGGCATGCAGTTAGAGGGGAAATAGCTTGTTTATGTGGTTACTTTTGTATAGTGTAAAATAAGTAGAGGTATGATAATCAAATCTAATTTATTAAAACATCCTGGATAGTTGCATTAATTTCGGTTCCGGAGTAGTCGAGCAGATCACAGCTGCATAATTTGATTGAGGAAAAATGTATCGTGATGCTAAATTGATAAAACCAACGGTCGGCAGGGAATCATGTTTGAATAGTGTTTGAGTGTGGATAAATTATATACCCACTCTCAAGATACACTATGCCTATATAATACTACATGTAGTAAAATGAAAGTAAGGTTATCCTCACGAAATGAGGATGACTTTTGATCGTGAGGATTACTTTTCTTAACTATTTTTAATGACGTTATCGAGTGTTCGTATGACTATAGTGAGTGTATTTTGACTGACCGGGTTGGTTTTGACGACGTCATCGAGTTTTTCGGCTTACGTTAAGCCTAGTGTACGTTATTTAGCTGACGGGTTAGTTTTGACGACGTCATCGAGTTTTGTAATACTAGTAAAATGAAAGAAAAGTTATCCTCACGAAATGAGGATAACTTTCGGCTTACGTTAGTGTACGCTATATCGCTGACAGGTTGGTTTTGACGACTTCATCGAGTTTTAGCATGACTGTAGAGTGTGTAGTTCGACTGACGGGTTGTTTTGACGACGTCATCGAGTGTAAGCATGCCTGTAGAGTGTGTAGTTTGACTGACGGTATGGTTTTGACGAAGTCATCGATTTTGTCGGCTCACGTTAGTGTACGCTATATTCCGTCTTTGCATATTGCAGAGTTATCTTCTCTTGGGAGCAGGTATTGATTGTTACGTCACTTGTTTGTGAGAGTAACGTCATCAATTTTTGAGAAAACGACGTAATTTTCTCACACAAACCAATGACTTTACAATCAATCCCTCCTCCAAAGAGAAGATAACTCTGCAATACGCAAAGACGGAATAGCTGACGGGTTGATTTTGACGACGTCATAGAGTTTTAGCATGACTAGATTGTGTATTTGGACTGAAGGGTTGGTTTTGACGACGTTTTTCGGCTTACGTTAGTGTACGATATTTATTACATTTTTGCCAGTGAAATATCGGATTCTATCAACTTGATAAAACTGATATCTTTCACACTGTGACAAATATCAAAAGTGATATTTTCATAGTGTGAAAATATCACTTTTTGATATTGACCATTATTATTTTTTCATATTAATTCGGATAAGTGATTGGCCAGAAGTGAATCACGTGTCCACCGATAAAAACCGATATTGGCTTGGGGCGCGTTTTTACATTCTAAAAATAGAATAATGACGTGTCTCCAAACGAACTTATCGTCCCGCTTCCGTAGCTTTTTGCTGTCTTTTTTCAGATTGCTAACATTACTGTTTTGAAAATAATAAAACAATTGTAACCCTTGACTTCGGTCAATACCTGGATTTATCGACCCGAGAAAAGATATATTGACCTCGGACTGCGTCCTCTGTTAATATATCTTTTCTCGGGTCGATAAATCCAGGTATCAACCTCAGCCAAAAGCTATAATTGAATAATCATAACGGTATCTCCTATTCGCTGCATTCAAAGGCAACGATTTTTTGTTCAGATTCAAATGAAGCGGCAGGAGAATAAGTGGTTGTTATGGTGAATGTTTGGCACTCACACTTAAGTATTTACATAAATATACAATTAATAACATTTTTATAAGCAATTATACCAGAAAATAGCCGAAAACGACGGAATTGCGTTGAGTATCCAATCAAAATGGCGCGCAGCCTTGTTGTTAAGTGTGACGTCATTAGGATATGGCGCTAATTATTACGCTTCTGATTCCCGCCCTTTTTTACTGCCTTACATTTTTCATGTTTTATGCTTTAAAAATGTAATAAATAGAAAATGTAATGGTGTCTTCAGAAATAACACATATATTTTACTCTTGTGGCTAATATTTTGATAGTTTTCACTCGTGCTGCGCACTCGTATAAAATATCAAAATAATAGCCACACTCGTGAAATATATTTGTTATTACTGAAGACACCATTAAATATCCTCTATATAACTGACGGGTTGTTTTTGACGACGTCATCGAATTTTTGCATGACTGTACATGTGTGTATTTGGACTGTGGTTTTGACGATTTCATTGATTTTTTGCATGACTGTAGTGTGGTTTACGGGTTGGTTTTGGCGACGTCATCGAATTTTTGCATGACTGTACAGTGTGTATTTGGACTGAAGGGTTGGTTTTGATGACGTCATAACGGGAAGTAATATCTTTATGCTGGTTTTGACGACTTAATTGATTTTTTGCATGACTGTAGAATGTGGTTTACGGGTTGGTTTTGACGACGTCATCCAGTTTTTCGGCTCACATAAGTTGATACCACTGGTTGGTTTTGACGGCGTCTTCGTCGTCTTTAGTTAGTTGATGAGACGGGTTGGGTTTGACGACGCCATCGAGTTTTTGCATGACTGTAGAGTTTAGTTGACGGGTTAGTTTCGATGATGTCATAGCGAGATGACGTCTACTTTAGAATTCCTGCTCGAGAGCGTTACTGTAAGTGGGGTTTTCCTCTTCACTTCAATTCAGACTGCTAATCGTTGCCTCCATCGTCCTTCAAAGCCTGTTGTCATGTCAACTATCCGTTAGTGTGACGTCATAACCAAAAGTATTAACTAGTTAAAGGAAATTGGAAAGACAGCAAAATATCCAGAAACAAACATATGGAGATACTTCCCTTTACCGTAAATGATTTTGGTTTATTTTTACTTTAATTATTCTATTTTTCAACGAAAATGGAGTATTTCTTTTTTTAGTTTAATAAATATTTTTCTAACATATTTTTTGTAGAAATACAGTATAGCACAGGGGGCTGTGGAGCGGGGCTAAAAAAGGGTTATTTGGCTTTATTTCATACTTACTGATAAATACGGGTTTTTTGTATATGCGATACGACACAATAGCTCTAACCCATATCAGCCCTCGCCGTGTCACACCCCAAACCCCGTATCAGCCCCCGCCGTATCACACCCCAAAATCCGTATCAGCCCGCAAAACCCATATCACACCACTTTTGGATTTTTTTTCGTTTTTCAATATTTCAAAAAGAAAATTAAATCAAAAGATGGTAGTTTTTATTAGTAAATATGTAATAAACAGAATAAAACACGCCTTTTTCCATATCACACCAAGTATCAACCCTCGACCAATATCAGCCCTTGGGCTGATATTGCAGTCTCGGGTTGATACTGGGTGTGATATGGAAAAAGGCATGTATTATTCTCTATATATTGATTAAGCGACTTCTTCTCTGAAACATATTTTAGTTTGATGCTTCCAGGTGGTGGGGATTAACAAAATACAAGTTGACTGGTTGACCCCCTGGGCTAAGGGGTGGGACTAAAAATAGTTTATAACTTGGTAATGATTGAGATCCCCACCCTATAATTACAAATACAATTGCTGAGTATAAAGAGATGATGCACATATGTTACCAAGATGGCTCTGGGGTCTGGCCCCACCACTGGAGACTTATTCCCTGGGTGATTACTTTGAAACGGTTGAGATCCCCACCCCA